TTATTATTATTATTATTATTATTATTATTATTATTATTATTATTATTATTATTAGCCCATATTATGCAGTTTGACTCTATGCTGACTATATAATGCAGATTCAAACTGCCTTATCTGGCAGTGTAGATCCAGCCAGAGTGTCACCAAACTCAATAATAGTTCTGTAGAGCCAGCCTGGTATAGTGAGTTGAACATGGGACTATAACTTTGGAGCCCAGGATTCCACTCAGCTATGGAAACCCCTTGATATGATCTTAGGGTTGCTTTAAGTTGGAAACAACTTGAAGGCACACAAGCACAAGAGATAGTATGGCAAGGAAGAACCAGAATGATCAAAGTCAACTATGGGCTCTTCCAGGTAAAGAAAACATAATGTCTCTCCATATGGCTTATTGGGTTTCCTTGTTTTTGTTGCCTAGATACCTGCTTGTATCATTCATTTTGTGGCTTACTGTAATGATTTCTTAGATTTGCTTGGAAGGTGGGGCGATGGTGGTAGTTTTCTTCCCAAGTTATTTAAAGAACAAAACAAAACTGGAGTATGGTTTGTTGAGGAAGTACTACGGTTTGAAGGACACATTTTCTCTTCTCTGCCTTTTAAAAAGATATTTTTGAATTGAAGATTTATAGGACCAAATTGCCACTTCACTGATACACTGCAGCACTATAAAATTAAATGAGGAGAAGAGAACATATTGTTCTGATATGTTTCAGCATTAAAAAAAGAAATCCACTCAAGGGTGAGACTAAAATCTTGCAGCTGGTGATGAAAATTGCCAAGAAACGTTGTTTGCATATTTTAAGAAACTCTCAAGACCTTCAGCATCAACTATTGCAATTTTCCCATGCATTTGACCCATTTGGAGGAGCCCCATGTTGGGGGGGGGGGGAATGAAGGTTGGAGAAACATCACTTATTTATTTATTTATTTATTTGCTGCATTTGTTGACCGCCGCTCTCAGCCCTAGGGCGACTCGCGGCGGTGTACAACATATAAAAACAGTTTACAATAAGGCACAACAAGAAATCAACATATCAATAATACACACTAATCTAAATTACACTAGCTAATCCGCATCGTCACAACATAGAATCATAACCAATCTCGTAATCCGTATACCGTTCCAGTTGTCCTTACCAGTCAATGTAGCACTCAGTTAAATGCCTTCTCAAATAGCCAGGTCTTTAGGCTTTTACGGAAAGCCATAAGGGAGGGCGCCTGTCTGATGTCAACAGGGAGGGTGTTCCACAGCCAGGGGGCCACCACCGAGAAGGCCCTCTCTCTCGTTCCCACCAGACGTGCCTGTGAGGCAGGCGGGATCGAGAGAAGGGCCTCCCCAGACGATCTCAAGGCCCTCGTGCATCGTTTCTCAACTTGGGCATCGTTTCTCAACTTGGGGGTCAGGACTCCTGGGGGGGGTCATTAGAGGGTGTCAGAGGGGTCGCCAAAGACCATCAGAAGACACTGTATTTTCTGATGGTCATGAGGGTTCTGTATGGGAAATTTAGCCCAATTCTATTGTTGGTGGAGTTCAGAATGCTCTTTGATTGTAGGTAAATTATAAATCCCAGTAACTACAACTCTCAAATGTCAAGGTCTATTTTCCCCAAACTTCACTAGTGTTCACATTTGGGCATATTGAGTATTCAAGCCAAGTTTGGTTCAGACCCATCGTTGTTTGAGTCCACAGTGCTCTCTGGATGTAGGCGAACTACAACTCCAAAACTCAAGGTCAATGCCCACAAAACCTTTCCAGTATTTTCTGTTGGTCATGGCAATTCTGTGTACCAAGTTTGGTTCAATTCTATCATTATTGGAGTTCAGAGTTGATTGTAGGTGAACTATAAATCCCAACAACTATAACTCCCAAATGACAAAAATCAATCCTCCCCCAACGCCACCAATATTCAAATTTGGGCATATTGGGCATTTGTGCCAATGTCCCCTACATGCCATGTTGAGCACCTTCAATCTCGCACTTCTCTCCAGTAGTGCAATGGCACCGATTTGCCATTTGGTGATTTTTTAATTTTCATTTTTAGGGCATTATGCAATTCAGGGATTTAAAAACAATAAAAAGGCAAATGTAAATGAGCACACAGTGGTGCAGTGGGTTAAAGCACTGAGCTGCTGAACT